ATTCTTCCGACGTCTGATTTCTTTTTAATTATAGGAAATGCGTTTTTCTAAGGTACATAAACTTTTGGGATTGACTGTATAACCAATACATCCTTAATCACAAAAGTAATGAACTATACAATAATTATCATTTAATATAAACGCCACATAAAATAAACTTTATAAACAACTCCATGTTTCAATGTAGCATAAATAAAAAGTAAGAAACTATGTAGGATATGTGTTTCTTATTCAGAAGTAATATCGCATAGTTTGTTCTCGAGATTAGAATGGTACATGAAATAAGAGTACGTGTTTTCCTTCCTGAATTGTTTTACGTACATTCTTATCATGCAGAGAAGTGCATTCTCCGATTTCATTTCTACCACGCACGTGCTGCATAGCAGATTTCCTCAGTTCTTAGGTTATTCAGAACATAAAATTGTAAATTATTGGTATATGTAAATTAAGTGGCCTGAATCTGCAAAAAACGTGTAATTAAACAGTTTCATCGCTTAATTCTACCCTATTCAAAGCTCTGTACTCATCGCAATATCCAGGATACACAGAGAATTAGCAGGTAGAGCATCGAAACATGCAAACGATAATATATGTATAGATTAGAGCCAGCAACAGACCGGGGGACGATTATTTACTCAGACAGCACGCTGCGACGCGGCCCAAGCGTGTTGTGCATTAGAGAAATAATTAACCCCGTGTATAATCATTAGGCGGTTACAAGGGCGTCTATCCTTTCAGGAAAACATTGCCCTGCTGCAGCTACTCGGCGGCAGACACCGGGGGCCTCGCCAGAAGTTCTGTCCTGGTTAGGGTCGACCCACGACCCGGAAGCGCGAATTCCGGAAGTTACGCGACCATTGCCGACCTGGAGCCACTCTATGCAAGACCTTGCGGTTCCAGAGCAAGTTACTACGCTTCCAGCCATGTGACGCATCTCAGCCAGGTACGGTGCAGAATCATTTTACGGAAACTTCGGTGCAATATTGCATTAAGTATCCGGGCGCAGTGTGCGCCGTCGAAAGCTCGGCGAACACAGAACTCGACTGCTCCTGCTGTAAAAGTTTTACCTGATCGCGATCGTACATTACTCGCTCGTGCAACACTCTATCTCGGTCTAATAAATTTTATATCCGGGCGAAAGCGATGTACCTACGATTTTATGGAGATTGCGCGCGGTCGGTTTTAAATTTTTTAATAGCTATTAAATGGAATATTCGATCGAGACAACGAAAACCGATACTTACCGTGAAACATTCATGGTTATATCTTCCAGTGCTTAATGGAAGGTAATAAAGCATCGACGTTATGTTTTTCTATATGACAGAACGAACGATGTTTTTAAACATTTAGAAGGCGCGCTCTGAAACGAGAACAATTTTTACCCGCGGCAACACGATTTTTATCATTCCGTATCATATGATTGAGTAACTTAAAACGTCGGCTTATTGCGCTTCTTTAACCGGCATAATGGATTTAAGAGCGGCGAAGCAGCCCGCGGAACAAAATCGAGGATACGTAGACGAGGAACTCTCATTGCACGTCAGGAAATCCGATTTTCTCGCAGCCGTTCGTTCTCTCTCCCCGCTTCTTTATCGCGAATTTCGCTTCGCGTCGTTCTCTCGGCAACGAAAACGGAAACTGGGGTGCGTCTCGGCCGGTCTTGTCTGGCCCGCCGCGCAAAACGAGGTCCGCTCTCAAAAACTTTATCGAATTTGCGACCGTAGGGGCAGTTTTCCGCCAACAACTTTCTCTTCCACTAACCACCTTCTCTCCGCAGCCCTTTCGACTCTTTATTCAGCTATTTCAACCTGCAACCTTCGCCTAGCCAAACGAATGACCGCCAAAAACTAGTATACGTATAAAACTCCTTTCCTTCACCATTTTCCTTCTCCACTTTTGTGGCTTCTACTTTCTTTTGTTAAGGTTTCTGTTTTGTCCTGGAAGAGACAATTTTCTGTCTAGGAAAGTTGGAATTGAAACTTTTCTCCTTGGCTCTTTACAAAAGAGTACTCTGATCCTTCTTGGGAATTCACTATTTATTCGCTATTGTTCAAAAAGAAGTTTAGACTTAGATTCATTTTCTTCATTGTTCTATACTTAACCACTTGATCACTAAGCTCCTTAATTTCATTCGTTCTCTCGAGACACTTTATACATTATTCTTTTAATTAGGAAAATCAGCTTTCCTGATTTAAATCCTCGAGTCAGTATCAATGCAAATACGCGCCTTTCATTACGCGCCAACGTTTGTACAAAGGAAGACCGAGCATAATCGCGTGATCGATTACATCAACGTTCGAGTGAATAACTGATAAAGCAGATAAATCGACGATTTACAACTTTCTTTTTTTATCAGAGCGAAGGTACAGACACTGAGCGAAAGCTACGAAACTGGATCGTGGCTTCTTCTTCTTCTCCTCCTCCTCGTCGTTTTACCTTCTCCATTGAGAAACACGATCCCTCTATTCAGTTGCCTTTCGAACGGGGCACGCTCCAGTCGGTTGATCTCTTTGATCGCTTAGAATTCAAATTTCAATGGAACCAAGTAAAATCGAAGGATATATGGAATGGGACGATGCACACTTTTGTTCGATAAGCATGGGCCCTCTCGGGCGACTTATCGAAAAATTGTGGCACACCAAAGACTGGTTTAGTACCTACTTTTACTTACTCTTTCTCAGTATTCATCCGTACAGACGCATCTTAAATAAAATTTATTCATGCAGCAATCTTTAAATGTTAGAATCTGTATTTTACTTAGTACCGATATAAATGTTTAAAATATGAGAACGATATATTGACTAATTATAAGATAAAATTGTAGAATATCAATCCGTGGGTAAATGAAGTTCGAGAAAAATCGGGCGGGATTTGAGGCAGCGAGTACAGAAAACACGGGAAAATATCAGGAATAATAACCCCTCTGACAACACTACCTACTCGTTTCGCCGTGGTTCGCGCATTTAAAGGCGGAAAAACAAAGGAAACGAAGGGAATGGAGAATGCATCCAGGGGCGGTCCAAAGGGAGGAGAAAAAAAACAGAGATCGCGCAAATGTCGAATAAATATGCAATGGAGTTGAGAAAGAGCAGCCGAGCGTGGCTCGATTCGCGTAACAAAGTCTAGCCAGCACTTTCCGGCACGAAACGAGCATTTTACATTAATTTTCCCGAGGAAAAGAAACGGCCCCGGTACCACCTGTGTTCCGCTATTCAAAGCGAGGCTTGGAAACGAAGGTTACACACGCGGTTACCTTCCTTTCTCCGCGCCCTGCTTGGGACAGAGTCGGGAGGGTGGAGGAAGCGACGCGGGGGTAGATCCGGGGCGAAAGGCGGAGAGAAGCTAGAGAGAAACTGGAAGTGGGTCCTGTGATTGTTTCGGCTTTGATCTTGGATCAATTTACCGGGTATACGCGTATGCCTGAACCCTCCTCTGTGTCCTGCCCTCCTCGTCTGAAACGCCACCCTCTCATCCCAACTCCGCACTGACACGAAGTACCGCGTGTTTATACAAACGTACTCGTGAATGCGTGCATATATTAAGTCGTTTAGAGAGATTGCAGCATTTCTTCAGGCGATAATCACAATTAAAAAAGCTAGTTACATGTGTATCTGTAATTTATATGAAAAATAATTTAAACATATATTTTCAATTACATGAAACCCTGAAGCTTGAGTGAAAAACTTATTCCTCGTTCTAACCCTAACCCTCTCTCCTTGTTCGCCCGTTCACACGTTCGTTCTCTTCGAACCTACCCAGTCATGTAATCCAGCAACGTCTTATCCCTCTGTAAAACGATACGCTTGAGATCCCATTGCTGAAGAAGCCATTACTGTTCCTGTCTACTAGAGATCTTCGGTCCGAGAACAGACGTGTTCTCTTCCTGATTGTCTCTCGATAGGCCACCCTCTTCTCTTGCCGAAAGGAAAAGATAAGGAAACACTTGCAGCCGGCCACTGTTTAACTTGTTGCAACGAACGCTCTTGACATGTATCGGTCTGAGTAGTACATTCGCTCGGCAGTGGCGATTTCGGTTGTATATCTTAAGAAATTCTTTTTATTCTCTTTCAAGGATTTGCGTTCGTAATACAACATTTATTGCTCTGGTCGAGGGTTTGAATTATTTAAGTAGTCAGCTTTTTTCATTATTCACGATAATACTAGAATCAAAGAAAATGGAACGACGTAGAAATATTGAATGCTAAAGAGAAATATGGTAATTAATTTCTTGCTGTGTCGCAAATCATTTCCAAGTATACTGCAATCTGGTTTATTCCTGGATAATTGTCAGACTATTAAATCTTTCTTTTTGATAATCCTTTATCTTCGTTTTTTTTAGTATTTATTAATTCAACAGAGAAAACATCACCGGATATCGTGACAAAGGAACAGACGTTCAAATCGTCATCCCTTCAAAAGTTGCTCAATGGAAAAAACAAACGGCGACGGGAAGTTTGACGAGGCTTTCTCGATAAATAAATCGAATTGCCAGCATCGTGCGTATCCGGCAAAAAGTTCGCTGGTGGCGCCGTTAAATCAATAGCCCCGATTGTGATTGTATAAAAGTGACTCGTCAGTCGACTACGTTCATTACAACAAGGTTCCCGATGTGTTACATATATGCCCGGTTCAATTGGCACGACAAATATGGATGTGTTTTTTCAAGTTATAATAGCGACGTTTGTTAATTATGCCGCGTCAGGAACTTTTGTTCGATACTCGGCAACGAACAGGCGGCGTTACATAACAGACGAGATTTACGCGATCCTTTCCCATTCATTTGTTAATCACAATTTACTCATTTTTACAATAAATCACTACATTTCTTACTATAGTGAGTGTTAGGATTATTTTCTATAATCTATTGATAACATTGTAAGTGATATAGAAATTGTAACGGGGCGTTGACCCACAAGACAGGAGACAGAAAATACATTAGTCGATATGTCCATATATACGTATGTATATATGTACATGGTCCTTGTTTGTACAGCGTCGAGATCAATCACACGTCGGTTGCGAAACAAATGATAATAATCAACAGCGAGGAGTAATATTTATTGCCTGTTTTCGAAGCTTCATCTGTACGTTCGTATCACGTTCCATTCTACGCGATATTCATTACCAATAATCAATAATCAGATTACACAGTTGAATGGACCATAGCAAGTACAATTGTATATTTTTTCGTAAAAATCAGTCGCGGCGTAACGAAGTTATTAAAACATTGATTAATCAAATTAAATAATTTTCGCATAAGAGGTGTTAAATCCGAAAAGTACAAAATAATAGACAAGCTGCTTTCTATAACACGGAAGTTAAAGCAATTATTCAAAGCATTTAAGCTCTGAAAGCGTACTGAGTATCAAGGTACGAAGTCAAACATTTGATAACAGTTTTAGTGCATCTCATATCTCTTGACACATTCGGTTATAATTCACTTGGCTGTAGGAAACCTCGTTACTGGTCGCAAACATTCTAATTAAAAGTGCTACCAACGCGGGATTTCGATTATCGTGTTTAAATTGTGCGGCAGGAGCAATGAGGAAGCATCCGCTTTGCTTTCCATAATAACGGAATTATTGCACTCCGTCAACTACCACTACCGCCGACCCCTCTCCCCCGCACCCCATCTTTCCCTCTCTTCCGTTGCGCGATTATCAGTTAAAACAAAGCTTCTCTTCCTGCTCCTATTTATATTTATAAGCTCATTCCGCGTGCGCACCGAATTCCGCGTCGCCACGCCATTATTCCAACACGCTGGCCGATTTTAAATTGTCTCATCGCGTTTTCATTTAAACGAAAACGGAAGAGGAACAAGTGGAGATACAGTTCCCGCGCGATAAAGAGCCAAAGAAAATTGGAAGGGAGAAAACGCGTGACGTCGGAGGAGGAAAATGTAAAGAATGAAATCGACGAGCGGAACGAACCGCACGGTAATGAAAACCATGGGACAAACGGAAATGGGGAAACGGGAAGGCTAGTACCAAAGTTCTTCCTTTGTCAAAGCGCGAATAACTAATTAAACGACGATAACGCTAGTGCTAAATAATAATTACAGGAATTCGTAAACCCTGGATATTAGTTGGTCCCGTTCTCCCTAAATGCCATAAATGAATTTTGGATAAAAGAATGTTCACCTCTAATCACCATCATTTATTGAACCGTTTTATGTTATCTTTTTACATTTTATTTTGAATTAGACAGAAATGAATTTGATACAACTAGTCAAAACTATTTTTGTCTGTATACGTTTGTTAACAGAGCAATGAATGAAATAATCCCAACTACGATTTTTGTCCTGTCCCTATTAATGCCGTCACTGTACGCTTTCGAATCCAATACCTTACCCACAGTTAATTTGCACGATGCCACCAGTTCCCAAGCTGATTTTCGGCCCATCTTCCTTCTCTTTTTCCTCGCTACCCTAACGCACACGTAGAACGCAAGGTTCCCGGTATACGCGTAGGCGCGTGCAAATGGAATGGGAGGAGCCGGAGGCAAAACTCCGGAAAATTGAAATTAATGAATAACCGGGAGGCCTTCCCCTCGTCCCCCAGTTTGCGTCGCGTCTGAGCTTTCCTACGCTTCGCAACCAGCGTGAAACCGTGATGGAACAAAAGGGAATGCGGTAGAAACGACGATATAACGATGACACAGACGAGGAAGAAATGGGGGACGATGCGGGCGAGGTCCTTCCTTTTTCTTCGTCCTGGCCTTCATGTCCTTCGGAGACTTCGCGACCTCTTCTGTATCGGTTACAGGCGACAAATGCTTTTTTAATGAGTTCCTCCACGCTACTGGGAGGGATTTTGTTCTGTGATCAATTATACAGAACGCCCGCGCGTGTCGATATCAAGAGACAAGACCAGGGATGGGGAAGGGTTGCAAATTGTTTAGGAATCTCTTTGGTGTCTGGCAGCGCGTCAGGTTTAATGCCCCAGTGTCTTCTACGTTAATTTACAGTCGACTGATCCTTGTGAGAAGGCCAGGGCGCTCGCAGTACCAAGGTCCGCGTTGTACTGTCGCAACCTCGTGCAGGAGGGCACCTTTGGACGCGTCTACAAGGGCACTTTGGAATTGGCTGGTCGTGAGCAAGAGGTTATCATTAAGACGGTCACAGGTATTGACATAACGCTCTCATCATGCAATGCTGAACGAGGATAATATTATAATAATCATGAAATTATTAATTTTATGTGCGTACATAAATATATAAAAATTCATAAATTATTAATCAAAGTCATGTTTTTATCTATAATATTATTTCAATTAGATTACAGTTAGATTAATTGCATGGAAATTCTGTATTCGCAAGTTGAGGTGTTCTAAACTGACGGCATACGATAAAGTAGAGAATCTCGTACCTGTCGTTGGATTTCTTCACAGAATCCTTCAGCGTTATAATGTTAATCAAAAATTTCTATAAGACGAAACGTTGAATTTCTTTTTTTTTACAGAAGTCGCATCGGCTTATCAAGCATCTTTGCTGGTGGTGGAAGGCTCGCAATTAGCAGGGCTGGTGCACGCAAACATTGCTTCGCTGGCTGCCGCCTGTCTCGACAGTTCTTGTCCATTGTTGGCGTACACGAGTACGCCGTGCGAATTGAATTTGAAGCCGTACCTTACCGACGGTAACTATCATCCCGTGACCAGGGACTTGGTGCATGTTGGTGCACAGGTAGCCAGGGCAGGGGCATTTCTGCACGGTCGAGGACTCTTGCACAGGTGATTACATCCAGTTTTTCTCTTAACAAGAAAGAATGTTATTGAAGTTATTTATAGAATTCAAAAGCTTTACGTATTCTTTCATCCATCCTTTTCTTTACTTTACAATTCTTTTGTTTGTTCAATCTTTAAAATCAAAGTCCTAAGTACGTATTCATAAAGTCATAATTACATATTATTTATTATGGAAATATCAGTTGAATAATCAATGTTGCGTAAAGTTATCAATACATAAAATTAGATAAGAATTGCAGTGTCATTTTTTAATGTAAGCAATGTCAGCTGCTGAGAACAATAAAAAAACTCATTAAATTTTATGACCATTGTGTAATTATTTGCAGAAACTATTTGCTTTTCTCGAAACATTAAGTTTTCTTTGAAGATTGAAAAAGTTTGAAACGCTTTTAATGGGAGTATAAAAAGAAAGGACCATTTGATTTCAGGGATATCGCTGCCAGAAATTGTCTGATCGAGCCAAGTAGTCTCCGCGTACGATTAGCTGATACAGCTTTGGCGCGAGATCTCTTCCCTCAGGATTACCATTGTCTGGGCGATAACGAGAACAGACCTATTCGCTGGATGGCTTTGGAGACACTCCAGCATAATCAGTATAGCACGGCAACGGACGTGGTACGGACATAATTTATATTGAATAACAATAAAACTTTGAGACATCGCTGTCTACTAGAAATTATAGGTCGAATGGAATAGTTAAACTTGGAAATATACGATAATAATTTTCATTCAGCTGTTTCTCATTTTAAATAACCTACCTTAAGAACGTCATACAACGTGGAAATTCACTGCATCTATTATAATATGATAACAGGCATATCACTCTTTTACATAATACCACTTTGTTACATAAAAATTACTAAAAATATATAATGTAGACTGTAAACCAAGGAAATCTATTTAAATGTAAAATAATTCATCAAACAACAGATATCCTTCACTTTTATGCATCGTCTATTAAAAATGAAAGATACAAAAGTATTAAAATATTCGGTTGCAACAAAATTTATTGCTGACGCATCCAAGTAAAGTGACACGGTTAAATATTAATACAAGCAAAAGTATTTGCCTACTGTTCTCATGTACAATTGTAATTATCTTGTATTATAAGAAACTGTCCTTCATTTAATTCCTTCTTTTTTCAGTGGTCATTCGGGGTGTTTCTGTGGGAGTTGGCGACGTTGGGCCAACAACCGTACGTCGAGGTGGACCCGTTCGAGATGATGGCCTGTCTTCGCGATGGTTATCGACTGGTCCAGCCGCGACCATGCCCGGACGAACTTTTCGCCGTGATGGCCGTGTGTTGGCTGGGCCAGCCTAGAGACCGGCCAACCATGCCCCAACTTCTTGCCTATTTGCAAGACTTTCACGATGCCCTCGGTGGTTTCATTTAAAACGCTCATGTTCCTTGGAGGATACGTTCGAATCGCGTCATGGAATTTTCCTCGATGCCGAAAATGCGAAAAGAGCGGAGGCTCAACGTGAGCGGAAATCAGAACGAAAACACTCATGGAGGAAGAGAGGTCTCGCGTTTAGAGACGAGGACGGATCTTTGAAAGAAATAACTACACCGTTAACGAGAGTCAAGAAAGTGGAATTGATACCGTACGGAATTGAAAATCACTGCCCATTTGCGATTTATTGATCACCACAGCAGATACTCAACGTATTTACTCAACCGCTTGGACGTGGAAGGACCGTGTCGTTTTCGGGATTCCGTTTGAAGAGCAATCAAAACATGATTAGCCAAGAAGGAAATTGCCAACGGAGGCGTGGGAATTTTGCGAATTAAAATGATTCGAATGAAACTAGTGACGAAAGGATCGGCGCGGATACATCCGTCCAATAGCAGTTAAAAAAATAAAAAAAGAAAACTCGAAGCGCACAACGTGACAAATCGATGCAGCGAAGTCTGTGAGCCAACAAACTGGCAGTTCATCATACGCTCTGCACATCCGGTGCACAGGCGTGTATTCACAATGTTGTTCTTCGCTCACCGACTCTTTTGTACTTCCGGCTATTTCTGATTTTTCCAACATCGCAACGTTTTTATGATTACCGAAAGGATTGCTATAATTCACTATGGTCAATTGTTTTAACAAAATGTTATATCGAGATTCAGTGAATCTATTGAGGATCAAAATGTGATACATACAATTTTTTAACATAAATTAGAAGAAAACATTGTAATAGATTTTGTAGAGGTATATAAACTAAATTACACTGTCATACTGAGCTCAAGCCAATAATTTTTATGGAACTTTTACAATATTCAGTTAGACAAGTTCCAAACAGATACATCAAAAATATGTCTAATCAAAAATTCATTCAATCAAAATGTCTCAGCCTTTACTTCAGTACTCGAATTCAATATTTATGGAAAAATGGCAGGTTGCGAAACGACTTCCATGTAATGATAACTCGGGTGACGGAGAGAGCAAAATCAAAGCTCGGTAGACACGTAAGAATCTTATTGTCGTATCTGACCTTCGGTAGGCATATGCTGTTGCGTAAATGGGCGGTCGAACTGTACGTACTCGTAGTTATGTACCTATTAAGCCACGCCGCGCAAGTCACTTCTAGTATCCACGCCTCGCGTCAGGTTGCACGAATTATGCAGGATACAGTGAATGAGTCCCAGCGCCGTGGTTTTAGCTAAGCATCCTGCGGTCCAGTATTCTTCCTACTGCGTATCCGACGACCGAAACGAACGCTCTCGATGCTAATTGCAGCCTTACACTTATTTCATTCGGCAGGCGTTTTAACGACTTCATGACGAATGTATCAGAGCTTCGATTGAAGTATCACGTCAACATTTCTAGTGCGTTTTGAAAGAGTTATGACATTTTCTGGTAAACAATGAAATGATTCTTACTCCGTTTACTCTGAAAATCGCAGTGAGCGCATTGAATGAGGAAAGTGGTATTAAAAAAGAAATGCAAAGAATCGTGTACCGCCATAGAAGCTGGTTACGAATTTATGCGTTGTTGAATCCGAACGGTAGAGCGTATTCGACTTTGAAAAGTGAACTGTGTACTTATCCTTTAACGAGATCGGATTTTGGATCATTTCTTAAATGGATCGTTTCGTGTACATTAAGCTCTATCATAACTTTGACGATAAGCTAGTCCGATATATAGATTTGTACTATATTTTTATCGTGAAACGTATTTACGAAGATATTTATTCAAGTCACTTTTCTAGTCTCGAACCATTGAATTATGGAATTTATTTTCAAGACGTATTAATAAATATTCATTCGATGTTCCATTTAAAAGGCGCGAGTAACTATTCGGCCATCGTGCCGAACGTTGAATCGTAAAACAGTGAATGGATAACGTTTAATTTAGGTAAGGTAATTATTTAAGTCGCTGTGCGTGAAGAAGAAAGTTGTCGGATTTCTTTAAAAAAGCAACGACGATGATGCAGAAAATTCATGAAAAGGCGCGAGATGACGTAACGCGCACACGTACGCAGACACACAGACACACGTACACGCATACATACAGACAAACATGTTTAAATGTACTCGATGTGTAAATGTCGCATGTTCCTGACTACGACCATTAACTTTATCGCACTCTCTCTCTCTCCCTCTCGTCCCTTTCTCCCAGACCCCTTTTTCGACTATACCTCTCTCTTTCTCTCTCGACGCATTATAAAAAGCTGAATTTACCATCTCGCCTCGTACACTATTGCTACGACCATTTCTACTACTATGTAATTAATAACACTATTTAAAGTAAGCTATCGCTCGCCGCTATTTATCATGACGTACCTATCGTCGATCTTTCGTTACCACGAAATCGTCGTCCCTCTATGATGTATTCGGTACGTTGTAATTCCTTAAATTGTGTCAGCTCCCGTGAAAAATTCTCGCAATTTCTTGTAACACAGTTCCTGTCACTAATTGCATATCAACGTGGATAATGTTACAAATATCTGTTGTTTGTTTTTGTTCCGATTCATCATCTCCAGAATCAATCTGAATCAGAATCATTTTACAATTGATAAAAAACTACTTAATGGTATCACATGCGTTGCACATATGATTAAAGATGACAGAACTTTCCACGGGACGTTACAATTTCATTGTTTCGTTTTATTAAATGGAGGAACAGGGTAGACTAGCGCTGCACACTTTTTCGCTATCGCTGTATAATGTTTAAAGGAAAGCATCATCGCGTTTCCACGTCAACGTCACCCTTCTTTTTCTCCCATTTTCACGAGGGTCCTCGCAGAGAAAATCGGCGGCGAAGGGGTCGACGGTTGCCGCCCACCCTTCTTTCGGATTCTGCTGACCCTTTGAACGCAACTAAAGACCTCATCATCGTGAGACAGTTCCGAGTCACTGTAAATATCTCTAGCGAATAATAGTGGTGCGCCGAGTGAGTTGATTTGTGCAGATTCTATTATTTCCTACGACGATTTACGGCATTATTTTTCAACGGAAAGTGAAATATACGTGTTAAAAAAAGATACGTTTTGATTCATTCATCATCCCCTTGAATTAAAAAAAAAATCTTGCTAGTTTCGATGTTGATTAAGCATCGTAAAATATACTTCACATACATTAACAATTTAAAATAAAAGATATTGTATGTTTGTAAAATGGGTATAAGTACATTTTTCAATGGGAAGTAAAAAAAAGGGTACAGTCCCACAGATCGGAGCGTTCTCCAAAGTGCGCGAAGGTAGCATACAGGCCACAGACTGCTGGTTGGTAGGAGACCCTTTCTAAAATCGCGGGAGCCGACCGGAAACGGTGCGAAGGCCCCGAAAGAGAAACCAAGAGCGGGACGGAAAACCGGACCGGGCGGAGATCGAAAAAAGACCGAACGAGAAACGCGAAGGTGAAAGAGGAGGGCCCAGGGACTCGGTTAAAACGTGGAGGGGCACGCACTATTTCCTAATCGAGCCGAGAGAGACGGTGAAGCGAGAGAGCCGAGCAGCCGAGCAACGAAAATGAAAGTGACGGAGAAAGTTGGGGCATTGTTACGGAGCGTAAAGCCCGGCGTGTGACGATGGTTATGCCTCCGCTCGGAAACTGTTGGATTTCGATTCACGTGGGCACGCGTTCAACGTTTCAGGCTGGATCAACACGCACGCGATACGCCGCGCGTATCGTAAATGTAAAACTAGCCATTCATTGTCAGCGTTTATAAACAAATATATCAATTATAAACTGTAGGTATACAAACTATATTTAATTCTCTCTTCATTTTGCGTAAGTAGACGATATAAAAATATTGATACAAAAAGATACAAAATTTATTGCATCGGGTAATTATTAGACAGAGAATGGTTTAGCAATTTGATGTACATAGATTTGAGAAAATTCTATATTCGTAGTAATGTCATTCACTTTCTTTCTAATTTCATTTAGCCGGTTTCCGCGCAAGGGTGAGCTCCAAGGACACGCCTAACACGATTTCTAAATTTTCGGTTACTACTGTTTAACTTCATTGCGAAATCCAACCCGTTCCGCACGGAGTCAGAGGAAATAGAAATTTGTTCTGCCAAATAGAAATTTATTTTCATACTACATTTCACACAGCCCTGGAGAAAGGACAGTATTTATATTGTCCAAATTTATTTTTTTATAAATCAGAAGTTAATCTATTAAAATGTTCATTGAAGGTAATCATTGTCCTCGCGTCAGATATTATTAAGGACAACTTATCCTTGTATTTTATATTCACTGGTTTGTAACATTCCACCGCGTTTTATAGTCAGGGATAAAAACATGAAATCAACCTTCGTTACTCTTTGTACATTGTTAATACACTTGCAATTCTTCATTTGTTAATATTCTGCTATACTTGTGGTAGTAGATGTAGTTTTAAGACATTGTACCTCAAAAACTTGAAACATGTAAGTATAGGCGTACGTATACACATGAAAGTTTCGATTACAGCAAGTAAAATTATGAATTATGGTCTGATTTTTATGTCGAGGCTATCGTTACCAAAAACGTCTTACGAATATTTGGCAGGGTGAAAGCCCTAACAGTCCCCTCCTCCCCGCTATGATAGTTACGCCACTCACTATGGATCATTGGTATTGCGATATCTCGAAACTTTCTCTTTCGGTTAATAAATCGTAATAGATTATTAACCACTATTGTACTGATGGGAACTTTCTATGTAACAATTGATTATGCATTTCGTATTACCTCAGTCGAATAATTTCTAACAATTATCGCTGTTGCGTGCGTTACGTAATAACACAAGAACGTATAATAATTATTCATCTTTTGTGCCCTTGGTTTCAAATTATTTAAAAAGTTAGAATAGTTAATTCGTTCAATGTTGTAAAAATAGGAATTGACATAATTAACAAAGGTAACAAAACTGCAATTGTAATAAGACAAACCGAAATGCAGGCAACAAAACGAAATAACGTTTCATGGGCAATTTTGTATACGTGGAAATTAGGCTGAACATTTTTCTTCTAAGAAGCAGTAACGAAATAGAAAAGTTTTCTTCCCTCGTTACTGAATTTTCGTTTTTACAAGATGACAAGGTTAAATCGTGATGTTAACGGTGGACACGATGAAGTTCAGGTTTGACAAGAGGAAAGTATGCGCGTGCAGATACGATGTGTAATCGATGTAAGCGAAAAACGTTAAAAAGCCCACTACGTATCGACATGAGAGGCGCCGACGAAAGTGGCGACGTTACATAATTCGAGCACGGGACATTCGGCCTGGCGTCCGCGTGGTAGGGAACAAATTGCCAATGATTGTGGAAAAAGAAAGATGGAAACTGTGCAAGAAACTAATTACACTGTTTCGGCAGACGAAACGCTACTTTCAACCCGGTTCCCCTTTGTGCGCGATTCACTATCTTTCCGCTTGAATCTTGGAAATTAAATCAATTCTCTTCAATTCAAATCTTATATATTTAATTAAATGACGTGTTTTTAACCAAAAAGAGATTTCTTTGTTGCATTGATATTATTTTAGAGTAAACAATTAGTCAGCTAATGTTTCGTTATGTTCATATTGTTTATACAGAAATGCACATGAACTGTCATAACGAATGACATTATATTCACTTAATTGTGTAAAAACAAAAATTATCATCAGGAAATCTAAAACACCTTCACTTTAACTGCTTGGAAGTGAAAAATATTGTACTCGAGATATTTTAATAGTATTTCCACGTATTACATTTAATGGCATGTTCATTTTCCCCAATCTTCAAACTGGCAATTTTCTAATCGATAGTAATTATTTGCTTTTCAAGCGACAATTTTACTAGAACTCGTACTGGTAATAAAAATGTCAGTTTAAGGCGCGTTAAAACAGTATACACTATGTCGTAATGTTCGAATAGATAAAAGTGTTTTTAACGCGAATGACCTTCCGCGCAAAATACGATAAAGAGAAAATAAATAATGAGCTGCCTCGAAGAATTAGTCTCACGGGATTTAGTCACTCTTGAAGAATATTGAAAAACAAAACGATTTCGATTCTCGACAAAGGCAGCAATGAAATTAGCGTCGCGTGTTTGAACTCACGTCCGTGAGAAATAGGAGTTAAAATTTTTCGAACAGGGACGAGACGCGTGAACATCGTTAGCCTATCACACGTGTAGTTCTTCCTTGAAGAAAATTATAAGCATTTAACCGATACGGGAGCTGCAGCGTATGCCACGTTCAATTACGATTATGAAAGCTGACGGAACAACGAGCAAACGGTGAAGACATCGAATGGAAGAGAAAAGGACGCCTCTTGCAAAATAATGAGCAACGTGTCCGAGGTCGAGGACCAGCGAGCCGCCATTGACGAAACTCGTCGCTTCTTGCGTTTTTCATTTGAAATAGCAATTATCGTGCTTTCCAGTTGGACCGGATAAAACAATCGGAGCCTTACAACGAGTACGAGACGACCGGTCCTTAATCGGACAAGGAAAAACTGGTTTCGCGAGAACCGGAGGAGCGGAACTGCGATGTACAAGGAAAGGGATAATACGTACGGACCTTTCGTCGCCCCGATATCGTGAAGAACAGAATCGTAATCGACCTGTTACCTCCTTTCTATTCAATCTAAAATGTTAACTATCATTAATCGCGAGCATCTGTACAATATTATATTTATTTAATAAAAATTTAACCTTATATGTAGAAAACCGAAGACAGTAACTTGTACAGTTTCAGTTGACAACCATAGAAAGTGCAACCATAAAATCTATTCTTTAAGTACGCGACGGAGGGAATCAGAAGCACGAGTTTCCAATGCCAGCTTCCCACGAGCGTGTACGCGGAACGCAAACGCGAAGAGGAAAAAGCGAAAAATCGGCTTTGTTCACGGGAGGTTGACACACCTAGGGACAAACGGAGGAGCGCAAGATCCGAGATCTAATCACAAGGAGACACGAATCAAACCGTCGCGATCAAGCGAACGGTCGGGTTAGTGAAACACTTGGAAAGGCGGCTCAAGGCTCGGCTAGCCTTGGACGCGTTAGATTGCCTAATATTCAGGCTTCGAGCAATGCTGCGTGTCGCCGACATCGGGGCAAAAATACACATGAAACTGTACGGCTCACGATGAACTAACAGCACTCGATTTTGTACATTCAGAAGAGAGAGCATTCATATTCTAATAACTGTCATTCATTATATCCATTTATTTCTAGCCAACTGTGATGATGAAGAAAGTGTCTATGCGTCTTATATCACTTTACACGTGGTGTTTGGAATTATCTATGATGAAACACTTCGTTTGCTCTCAGCTATTTCAATTTTAACATGAAATTATTGATATTTTAAGCATAGTAATTAATAATAAAATTGATATAACGAAGTGCAATGGTGCAGATGGATAATAAAAATGAATGTTTTGAGAATCTGAACCTACATACCATTTGTCGGAATTTGTCTAATAAAAACACTAAGTGATCTTTTCACGATGATGCAAGCCGCTTAACCTTCCACGGAGAAATAAATTTCCCCACGGGACGTTCGACTCTGATTAAGATTACTGACTCGCATATCACGAAGGTCGCAGAGCTCCGAGTCAACGTCAACGCGCCGAGAGCGTCCCGTTGCTCGCGAGCGAGTCTCGTCCCTAGGCGCACCTGCACGCATCGCAAACTATGTACTTACTTACCTCGAAGCGTGTCAGACGTATACGCAATGGCGTGCAGGTGCGTAGCCGCCGTAACAACCGTACTCGTTCAACGTGCCGAACGATGAAATGTAACGTTAAGCCACGTACGCACCGGGGATCGCAAATGATAAGTTTGATCATGGCAGTGAGCATTGAATCCGATTTAGATGCGTACACGTGTTGAGTAATAAGCTTGTATCCTTCCCAAAGATAATATAGGCATGCAACTTGTATTTTCTGTGATCTTCTTTAATGAGAGCTGGACAAACTCATGTATAATAATATGTTAGATCGTTTCACAAGCTCTATCTCTTTTATTACTACAAGAATTTTTCTTCGGCACGTGCAAATTTTAAATAGCAATTCCGAAATCTGAATTGAAAACTCGATACTGTGTTTGATTTATAAACGCGCTTAAAGTTGTCCCGTTAATTAAATTCAAG